CGTTTTCGCCTACCGTCATATGTCTTCGTCGACGTTCTCGAGGGCCTAAGTCCCCGGTCCTGAATTTGACCTTAGGTTTGTTCCTGCATCCATTGGTCCATGTAGGTAATCCTTGAACCCTTTTCCTTCCTTCAACATTCCGTACACTTCTAGACCCTCCTTATCCTTGGATTCTTTCCTCAGATTCTGTTCTTCTCTCTCGGCACAAGCAACAGATATCTTCTCCTTGAACCCCTGTAGACCCTCCGTTTCCAGCGTTTCATCTTCGTCGATGTCGAGCCCCTTCCATACGTCCTCTACAACCTTGACCCATTCCGTGGGTTGTCTACCCCTCTTTTTGTTTGCCCACTTCGCCTCCCATACAATCCTCGGCAACCTCTCCTCTCCCATCCCGCACATGCGATACTGCCAGGTCAGCTTCCTCGCGTCTCTTCCCGACCGTAGGGATTGGATCCCCAATTCTGCCCTCACGGCTGCATTACTTGTGCGCTTGGAGCATCCTAGGATGGTTTTCGCTGCTTTCATCTGCGCCGCCTCGAGTTCTTTCACTACCTTCTTATTTCCTTCCCAAACGAGGGGGCGGGGGGGTAACACCTCCGGAACCGCTCTCCATTTGTGGACTTGTCCCCCGGCCTTGAATTCCGCCATGGTGCCCCCTGCTGTTACCCGTGCCACAGGAAGCCCGAAACCAGCGGCATGTTGAGGCTGTGCGAAGACCTGGACGTTCGCGTGCTGGCCTACTCGCCGCTGGCGCAAGGGCTCTTGACGGGAAAGTACTCCAAGGACTTCGTACCGAGGTAGGTAGTTTGGTAGATGGAAGGCCATGTGGTTCTTCGGATTCAAACCCATTGCAGTTGTTGTCTACAGACATAGTCACGCAATGTCACCAAGGGGAAGGTGAAGAGGCGCGATCGTCACCTTCGTTTCGCTTTGTTTGCGAGACTGTGACGACTAAACCATGGCTGTTTTGTTGCAGCGCATGGCGAAGACAGCGATGTTTGTTCTTTTTTGGGACAAAACAGGGTTTACCCTGCGGTCATACTAATCATCAGCGTGAAATGAACCCAGAAGATTGATTGGTCAAGGCCCAATATCACCCCGCCGCGTCCTAGTAAGGGCGGGGTATGCCCTGCCGTGGCTACTTTTCTCCGGAAGTGTCCCCTTGATTTCGGAAATGTACCTTGACCTGACGGGAAATGAGACCCTTTCATCAACCATTTCCGTCGTGATCTCTTTGGTTGTGGCAGGTGGGGCGCGCCTCGTTCCCTGAGAGTAGCTGGACAATCAACGCGAAAACGCCTTCGAATTTCTTCCCCGCGGGGATGGCGTTGGCGCAAGCCAGACGTTTCAAAAACATGAAAAAAAACTCTCCCTGTCCCTCTCCCATCGCACTCTTCGACTTGACAAGAGTACATACAAGCCGGTTGTTTTTCGAACGAAAAAAATGTTTTCGCGAGATTCGTACGTTAAACGAACGTGCATGCGCTTTTTTTACGCCCCCCGTTTCCCGGCCAATGAAGTGGACCGCGAGGAAGGGTGTTCAAGAAGAAGCTCCCCGCCGTCGCGCCGCTCGTGGACAAGCTCAAAGAAATTGGAACCCCAAGGTGTGTCTTGTGCCCTTGTTTTTGTTGGCTTGCATCGACCGCGCTAGCCGGGCGTCAGTGCTAGCGGGTAAAATGAAGGTCCCCGGAATGGACCAACTTCGAAAAATGCCACAACGCGCTGAATGTAAACGCCAAAACGAACCGCCAATATCAAAATAGGTGAGTTCCAGTGTGGCTAGGAGCAGTACATGCTTCTTAAGTCTTAAGACCATCATCTGGGGCTACGTCGGTGGAGGTCGATACGTGTGTGTGTATTTACTACTAGCATCGACCGCGCTAACCGGCTGACCAATGAACGCCGTCAGTTTAAGTGCGGTCGAAAACACAAAAACACTTAAAAAAATGTGTGTGTTTTCCTATATTCTTCGCTGTTGCTTGTATCCGTCTCCTTTTTCCTGGCGCGAGGCTCCTGTGTCTCGGGAGATCGGTAGTCCCGAAGCGAGCGTGGTGCTGTTTCGTATGTATTCAAGCTTCAAGCTTTTTCGCCTTCAGGCAGAGTGATCTATCGAGGTTCAAAATTGTCTGGTCTTAAAGGAGGACGCAGGAGGGCTGGCCTGCACAAACGCAACTCCAGGGTGTAAGGAGAAGGGTCGCTGTGATGCTGATGGGTGGCTCGCACCCGTACCTCATCCCAACACCGCCGTTGACACGCCAAATGTTGGTATTATAGTACCAAAATCTGCCGACCTTTTTTCATTATTCAACAAGAGTACAAGAAGAGTGGTTTCGCCCTTCGTGTGAAGCTGACGAGACAATGTATGTCTCGTCACAAGGACGTCATCTCCCCCCCCCCCCC